CCTACTTCAACTCTTGCTTACCACCATGATATTATAATACACAACTGATTTTATGTTTTATTCTACTTTTAGAAATTGTTCTGATTATCTGTATTTCTGGTATCTCTGACTCTTAGGCTTTGTCTTCTCATTTTTGCTCCTGTCTTTGACCCTGACTTTGGTATGTTTCTGACTATTTTCTACGTTACGTCCGACCATTCTAAGTACTGATAATGTTTTTCTAGTTGACTTGATTATGTGTGTTGGGCCAGAGTCCCCTCCTGACAATCCGCTGTAGTTCTCCCAAATCCAAAGTGAAGCAGTGATTAAAGCTCTGAGCTATGCAAACATCAGCCTAGATTTGGTGAAGGGTACAAGAAGACTGACTTTATTATGGCCAGATGGCCCACTTATATACACAGCAAGGATACAGTAAAACACGCCCAAAATATGTCCATGAAATTCTGAGTTAGAATGACTAAGCATAAAAACATAATATACATAAAGTATTAAAATTACATATATGACATATAGGAACCCCCACCAATATTATATCCCCAGATAGCCTGGATCTGAGCGCCCAAGTTGTCCAAATAGAGCTCAGATTTCACAAATACTGCCAAATTGCCACCGGGGTAAAGTTTTGACCGACCGCACCCGAGACATCTGCCCAAATCAGTTTCAGAAATTCAGTGGTAGCAGTCGGTCCCTTTCAGGAGTTCCATACGAACAAATTGTTGACCGGTTCTCCTGGCTACCATAGGTAGCGTTTGTTAGCCTTGTTCGTGTGAACAAACCTGCCAAACCGCGCTCTCCTGGCTTGTCGCAGAAAGAAGCAGGCGTTCATATGATTTTACTGGTGTTCACAAGGTCGAGTGTCCGACTTAGAGTACCAGACACACAATGACTAAGTACCACTGCCTGCGTTCGTGCCACAAGATGGCTGCCATTTTCTCCAGCACATGGCTTTCGGTTATATGAACGGTGGCCACGGAGGGAGAGCACTTAAGTCTGTGGTTTCTTTGTAGTTAATGAGCCAGGGTGGGTGGTTGGTGTTTGGTAGATTTATCTACTGAATGCAGGGAAAGTGTTTCTGTTCGGGAAACTATAAAAATGAATCAGGAGGGAAATGTCTTGAGAGCAGAAGGGAAAATAGTGAGTTTGATAGTATGTATATGGCCCATAGGTGGTGGTCAGGAGGCTAGCTTCCACAATCTTCTAGGGGTTTGTGGCAAATGTCCAGAGTAAGGAGCGTTTGTCACATATATTTCCCTCCTGGGGAGACTAACCAGACCCCAGACCTCCAATGGTCTGTGTTAGTCTGGTGGCCTTTTCCCAAGCTACAGTTTATACATCCAGGGTCTTTCTAGGAAGGGCAACTGCTAAAATCCACTCCTGAGGCACCACATAGTTGCTGGAGGGGGGGGGGGGTGTGGATGAAGAAACTATCTGCTCCTTGTTGTATGTACTGCCACTGGGAAATCGGACTGGTTGTCCACACTCCTAGTAACGCTGTTTGTTGCTGGGTAGTGAGACCGTCCATCTCCACCCACAGTGATGCTTTCTGCTGCTGGGGAGAGGGACCGAAAATCTCCTCTCCCTGGAACCTTATCGGCCGCTGGGGAGAGAGACCGGCTGTCTCCTCTCCCTGCGTTGTGCACTGCTGCTGGGGAGTGACACTGACTTTCTTCACTTCCTGTGACGCTGCCTGCTGCTGGGGGGGTGAGACTGACTATCTCCACTTCAAGTGATGCTTGCTGCTGCAGGGGAGAGGGACCGAAAATCTCCTCTCCCTGTAACTCTAGCTGCCGATGGGGAGAGAGACAGGTAGTCTCCTCTTCCTTTAACTCATACTGCCACTGGGGAGTGAGACTGACTGTCTCCACTCCCTGTGATGCTGAGTTTGTGGCAAACATCCAGAGTAAGGAGTGTTTGTCACTATTAGCCTTATTGATAAAGCATTACTTAAATATACTTAAATATTCCACCTTAGATCTGACATGGACGTAATAATCACCTCTACTTTTTACCTATTAAATTCCTTACATTGTGCTCTATCTGTTCTATCAGTCTTTATAAACATTTGAGAATGCTGGCTCGAATAGCAAGGTCATATCACATGGGATCATCTCTGAATGTATAAGAAGACTCAGATATCCATTTGGACTGTATACTCTCCTAGAACAACACAGGTTTATTTATAATTTGGGACTTTTTTACCATTTTTATTTATTTCATTTATTTTACCTCCTTGTCCCCTTAGCGCGACCTATATACCTATTTCTGTTTGTCCTATTCCATGTGAGGTTTTTTGAGGGACCTCATTCCTATAGGTTGCTGCTTTTACATTTTGTTTTAGTTTCTTTTAGATTGTTTAGCGCTGAACCATTATCTTTTTGTTCTATTGTTCTTTCCCTCTGGTGATAGCTGCTTCTTTTCTATAGAGACTATGTCTATTTTTGATTATAGGAGAAATTACACTATTGACATTAACCATGTGTTTGACTCGAATAACAGTGAATTAATTTATAATGACCATCTAACTCAGAATCAACAAGACTTATTTAGACAACTAGAAAAAGCTTTGACTTCTGAAATTAAATTAAAATGGGAAATAGCAACTCTAAAGAAATATATTGATGAAAAGATTACTCCTAGAGGCCTTAGGTTACATAAATTACCCACTTCAGATCAAGATGATGAAGAGTTTATGAACGATTGGTTCAATAAACTTGAAATATGCACCTTTGGCCTCATGGAGACTTTAATCATAAAAAAAAGTAAAAAACTTTCTATCTTGGACATTGAGATTAACAAACTTAAAGACAACTTATTACCATTTACAGAAACTCATGCCTATAAACAAAATTCAATCCTAATACAAAGTAAGATTGAAAAAGTGGAAACTGATACTAAGCATATAAAAATAAAGAAATATATAAGGGACAAGCAAGACTATAACAACAATCAAATCAAACATATAATTTACACAAAAAGTATACTAGTGATACATATACAGTAAGAAACAGAAATTCAACATATGGACATAACTCTAACCCTTACCCTCACTACTATGAAAAACCAAGACATTATCCTACTTCACCTGCTATGCACCGTCACCGTCAAGTCAATTACTATCCTCAAAAGAAATACAGTTCTACCGGCAATCACCCAAATGAATACGAAAGAAAGAATTCACTATATAACAAACAAAGACCATCACATACTTATAGAAAACCTATTCACAATATGAATAATCATCACAACTCACCAGATTACCAAAATTTCCCTCACTACACTACCACAAGAAAGCCCAACCATTCACAACCTCTAACCCCTAGACCACAAAGACCCAGGTTCAGGCATAAATATCCCGACCCCCCGAAATCACCACCCAACTACACTCATAATAACAGATATCAGTTACTGTCTATTGATTCAGAAATTGAAGATAATTTTTTAGACATCCGTACACAAAACCTACCTCATATACAAACTCCGTACCTCCCCAGAACAAGAAAACGAAGCTTAAGTATAGAGGAAGGAGAAGTGGCGGAAGATTACAAAAGAGAAAGAAAAGAGAGACAACAATAATACAAAACTGTGATGAAAAAAAACTAGGAATTTTTAACCTTTCGCAAAAGGTTTTAACATCTACACAGATTCAAGTTTTAAGTAAAGGTCTAAAGTATGCTCCTACTAACTCTTTTAATCCCTTTCAAGCTTTTTTAGATATAAACAAATTTGTGAGGAAAGCCACTATCAAAAGATTTTTTACTCAAAATGCCATTACCTCTACAACTAATCTAGCACCCCAAAATCAATCTATTAATATCCCAACAGTTGATCCTACAATTCATACAGATTTAAAAAACCCCTCTAAGTTTTACCCCTCACATTTTAAATCGGGTCCAATAGAGGTCTTCGAAAAATTAGTTCTAAAAGACTTTGAGAAAATAAAACACAATAAATACGATCATCAGAATTTAACACAAAATGAACGCAAAGCAATTAAAGAACTTCAAAATGACGAAGATATCGTCATTAAACCTGCGGACAAAGGTGGAGGTCTGGTTATCTTGTCTAAACTATCATACATTGAGGAAGCCAATCGTCAACTCAATGATCGTGAAGTATATGACAAGTTACCATACGACCCAACCTCAAAAATTAAAACTATTTTAAAAGATTTTCTAACCAAGGGACTTGATTTAGATATCCTAAGTAAACAAGAATTTAATTATTTAAACATTCCCTACCCCAAGATACCGGTCATTTATTTCCTCCCCAAAATCCATAAAAATATGACTAAACCCCCTGGGAGACCAATTGTATCAGGGATTAACTCTGTTTTATCCAATCTCTCAGAATATATAGATATTTTATTACAGCCTTCAGTAAAACTAATGAGATCCTATCTCAAAGACTCGATGACCCTTTTATCCTTTTTAAAAGATTTTATATGGTGTCAAGATTATATTTTAGTTACGTGCGACGTCCAATCATTATATACTATTATTCCCCACACCTTAGGATGTGAGTCAGTTGAAAAATTTTTAAAAAAACAAACTTCGATTCCGGTCTCACAAATAAATTTTATATTAGAGGGTATTCACATGATTTTAACCAACAATTATTTTTGGTTTTATGATTCTTTTTATATTCAAAAAAAAGGCACAGCTATGGGAACCAGGTTTGCCCCTAGCTACGCTAACCTCTTTATGGCTGATTGGGAGTCTTCGGCCATTTGGGGTGATCATAGCTGGCGGGCAAACCTGATCGCATATTTTCGCTATATAGATGATTTATTTTTTATTTGGCAAGGTTCAGAGACCTCTCTTAAATTGTTTTTAGAATTTTTAAACAACAATGATAAAAGTATAATTTTAACCTCAAATTATAGTAAGGTATCCATTGATTTTTTGGATCTTAACATTTTTATTCATGAAGGCAATATTCAAACTAAGACTTTCTTTAAAGAAGTATGTACTAATACCATCATAGACCATACAAGCTGTCACTATAAACCCTGGTTAGATGGGATTCCGAAAAGTCAATTTCTTCGTCTTCACCGTAACTGTTCTCTATCAAATGATTTTAAAATCCAATCTACCTCATTGAATAGTAAATTTTTAGATAAAAACTATGAACCAGAAAAATTGAATGCAGCATTAAAAGAAGTTAGTACAAAAGAAAGAAAGGACCTTTTAGCATACAAAGCTAAAAAGGAAGACCCCCCAAAATTGCCTATTATCTTAGACTTTAATAAGAAAAACAAAGATATAAAAAAAATCATTAATAAACATTGGCACATTCTTAAACAGGACGACCTTTTAAAAGACTATATCCCTGACAAACAAAATGTGATTTTTAGAGGGGCCCCAAATTTTAAGAAAATTCTAACGAAAAATTATACTAAAATTACTTCATCAAAGGAGACCTTTCTGTCAAAACCAAAAGGTTTTTTTAAATGTAACAAATGCATTGTATGCAGATCCACAAATCCCAATATCAATACTAAAACGACTCATTTCTCCTCCACCATCACCAAAACTATGTACCCGATCAAAGACTTCATAGGATGCAATACTAAAAATGTTATCTATTTATTAGAATGTCCATGTGGTTTTCAATATGTTGGCATGACAACAAGGTGTTTAAAGATCAGACTGGCAGAACATTGCCGCAATATCAAAAAAGGATATGATAACCATTCAGTGTCCAAGCACTTTTTATTTCATAATAAAGACCCAAGTGCTCTTAAAGTTACTGGGATAGAAAAAGTTTCCATGCCATGGAGAGGAGGGGATATGAAAAATATTTTGGGGAAAAGAGAGATGAATTGGGTTTTTCAATTAAAAACCCTATCACCTCAAGGATTAAACGTAGAATTTGACCTTTTTAATTTTTTATAAATTATTTTTTTACTTCTTACCTTTTTTTTTTCCTTCATTTTTCTTTTATTAATTTTGTTTATATTTGTTTTTATTATTTTTATATTATATATTCTATTATTATTTATTATTATTTTTATTTTTATTTTATTTTATATTTATACTTATTTTTATTTATTTTTTATTCATTTTTCTTTTTTTATATATATCCTTTTTTCATATATATTTTTATTATTATTATTTTTATCCTTTTTCTTTTTCCTTTATTTTGATTTATGCAGGATATTCCCTGCAACAAGCCCCTCTTTTGTCTTTCCCCCTTTTCCTCTCTCCTCCTCTCCCTTCCCCTATTAGGTCTCTATACACATGTAGGGCTAGTTATCTAGCTCTTATATGCCTCTGTTGCACAATTAAGTCGAGAGACAGGCGAAATACTTCTGCGCCGATCTCTCGACTCTCTGGCATACATTTCCCACAATACCCAGCTCCGATCACGTGATCGCGTCTAGCCGCGATCACGTGTTTCATTATATATTACTATTCTTAATAATGCTCGTTTTTCTATTTTAAGCCCTCAGACATTTTTATACCCCTTTTATTTACGTTCCTATATCATAATTTTCAACTTTTGTATATATATTAATTGCGACTATATTTTCTTCACTGACATCATCTCTCCTTGTGTACAACATTATAAAAAATGCTCTTTTTATTATTTTAAACTGACAATTATCTTAATATTGCATTATATAATGCTTTTACAATTTAATTTCTTACTTTTAAATTGTTTTTAAATTATGCATATTGTAAGAGTGACGTCATTTTGGCGCCAAAATTCAAATGCCTATTTGTATTTTTTAGCTTATAAAATCAGCTTGTGTACCAGGTTTTTCTCTCTTTTAAATGCCATTTGATAAAGCCCTGTGTGGTGAAACGCGTTTTGGCTATTACTAAGTTTGTTATATATATTGATAAATTATATTTTAATAAAGGAATATTGGCCCTTATTTTTTGCCTATATACTTTTAATTCCTTTTATTTTATATTTTTAATTTGAATTACCTGGTCATCAATTTGGATTGAAGTACGCCAATTTCCAAGAATCCTAAGGTGAGGATTGTACCACCTGCGCCATCATACTGAGCAGTATTTCCTGCTCATGTACATGTGAGTATTTTACCATTTTTTATTTGTTTTTATAAACATCAGTGAGCACTATATACGTCTCTCATTTTTTTATATACCGAGGAATTGTCCAGGAACCCATCACCTATATCCTACCAGTGGGGGATTGACGCCACTGAACGCTAAGAACACTTGAGCAAGGTTTTTTTGCTCACGCCAAGGTGAGTCATTTACCTACTTATAGACCCATACCTGGAAACTTTATCGACACTCTACACTATTGGAGTTCTTCTTCCTCTTCTTTTTTTTTTTTATGTATCTACGTATTGACAAGTATTCCAAGACATCCTCAACATAAGAAGACTCAGATATCCATTTGGACTGTATACTCTCCTAGAACAACACAGGTTTATTTATAATTTGGGACTTTTTTACCATTTTTATTTATTTCATTTATTTTACCTCCTTGTCCCCTTAGCGCGACCTATATACCTATTTCTGTTTGTCCTATTCCATGTGAGGTTTTTTGAGGGACCTCATTCCTATAGGTTGCTGCTTTTACATTTTGTTTTAGTTTCTTTTAGATTGTTTAGCGCTGAACCATTATCTTTTTGTTCTGAATGTATTATACCTTGCAAATATGTTGTGGTTTTTTTATGCTGAAATGTATACTTCGATATAACAGGTTACACATTTCTTTCAGATTGGGCCGAGTTCTGTGAATTTTGTTATTATGCAGGTTGAATAATATAGAAATATCTTTTCTGCTTTCAGCTAATTCGCAATTTGGCTTACCTAGACAGACAAAGTCGAGAAATGTTATAGAAACCAAGATCTGCGGTCTTACAATAAACAGGCAATGGCTGTGCTATCATTGGTATGCTATTTTACTGATTTTATCAACAAGCAATTTAAACTCTTCACTAGCTAGACATCAGCTAAAAAAAATACTATTCTGAAGATGTGATATGTGTGAATATTTTTTTTTTCATTATGCATAGATAGTACATTATTTAATGGTAAAATAATACATATTGCTGTTGGGGAGGGACATTTAAAAGAATAATAATGTCTCATGTAATAATTTCTATTGGGCCATATTAAAATAGGGCCTCTTGGAGCAACAGCTCCAGGTATATGCTTTGCTATAGGCCCAAAGCAGCTGCAATGTTAATATTCAAGGTCTCTTTTTTTAATTTATTTATTATGAAATAGGTCCTTGCAGTTACAATTCATTATGTATTGGAACTGTCTTTTATTCATTGCTTCACATTTGGTATATAGTACTCTGTCCTGAGAACAGTGGCTGGGTTCCCTGTTGTGTGCACAGCCTAAATAGCAGATGGTGACACAGCAATCACTAAAGATGGAGAATCCAGAGGCTCAGTGGATCAGTGATATATTTGCTATATGTGGCATTATATTTATTTACCAAATAAGTAGTGGTCTGTTGAGGAATGCTATATGCGCCCACCAGTGGTACTGAAAACAAGCCCCATTAATATTGTGTGTGTGTACAGGGCTGGTCTGGGCTATCTTCTGACCTACACAACAGCCTGTGCAGTGGCTTGAGGGCTACCATTCCAGACAGCTCTGAAATAGTAGCCACTCCTTAGTTACCGGGGCAACAATTTGTAGGAAGAAATGTTGTAGTATTAAACATACAAAGTAAAATAATCATTCTACGGGAACTAGTAATAATCTTATCCCTAAATAGGTGCTTTTAGATTGTAAGATCATTTGGGCAGGGGCCTCTTTAACTACTGTTCCCGTATATCTTATACGTATGTTTTGTTAGAATTGACTGCAGAATATGGGCTATATAAATTAGTGTAATTGTGATTCTGTGTCACGCACTGTACAGATGGGCTTGAGAAATATTATGCATCCATTTGTGTCAAATCAGCAAGTGCCAGTCATTCTGTTTGACTGATGAGACAGACATATATTCTATGACACATTGTGTCTCCATCAAGTTAATGATTTTGAATTGTGGATATGTGTGGATTATTTTAGATCCTGCATTTTTTTAAACCATGTAATTCTATTTTTTTCTAAAACATAAGGACCGTTACTATACAAAAAAAAGTAAAATACATCTATTTTAATGGTTATATTTCTTCTCTGAAACCTTGTGTGAGAAGAAGTGTTGAACCCACTATAGTTAACTGAAATGCAACATTACATTCAGCAAACTCCTTTGTAACAGGATCTTTCTTATAAATGTCTTAAACAATCTAAAATGTATATTTCTATTTTTCTCCAATATCAAGTGCCTGCATTAGGGATATCCAACCTATAGGAAAGCTCAAGATATCATAAATCGGTGGCAGATGACTGCCGGTGGCACAGTGCTCAGTATGACAGTCTGATAATAACTGCATAGGGCTATCCAGCAGAAAGTCTTTTGACATTAGGGTCAATGTTAATGGTGTGTGAGGGACAAAAACTGTTGCTTTGTAACAGCCTCTGACCATACTGTAAAACTCAGAGCTCCAAGAAAATCTATTTATCTGTAAATGGTGAAACTTTAAGCAGAGTGCTTTTTGAGTTCTGCTAAGTTCTGTTGCATTGTCTGAGGCTTAGAATGGAGGATTTTAAAACCCAGTCTCTAAAATTCTAAAGACTCACATTGCACGTCAATATGACTAACGCTTATTCGAGTAGCCGGGCATAGGCTGAGAATGGTCCATCTCAGTCCATTAATGGGTGCCCATTGAGAGAAATAATACATGCTATGAAGTCTACTGTATCTGAGGCAAGCTCCTGAGAACTGTTTAGTTGAAGGGGACTCTGCTTCATTGAGTGTAAACTAAGTAGCGTGGAGCTGAGTCCCAAACTTGAACGACCATGAATGACAAAAATTCCAAGTAAAGTATTTTTCATTTTTTAATGTTACATTGATGAGTCATTTTAACAACTGTAATTTAAACCCTCCCTCTCTGTCTTCAATAGCAATGGCAAGAAGAAATATTGAAAGAAGATATGTCTTTTCCACCGCGTTTTGACCAGCAGATAATAATCATCCATCTGTTGTGTATGAAAACAGATGGTGTGTGATGGTAGGTGTCCATAAGAGAATGATATAGCATGATAATCTGTTACAGAGCTGCATTGACGTCCGCACAGGTTTTGGATATAATATCAATGTTTTCACACTTCAGTTGACAGACACTGTTAGACAGACAAACTCAGATAGGGGGAGGGGTGTATTTATTT